CACCCTTGCCCCCCACCAGCCCCAAATTAAAAAATTATTTAAAAAAAAAAAAAAAAAAAGCCTCATGGGTCCAGTCAGTGGCGCCGTGGTTAAGGTGGCTAGATCCTACATGGCTGACTATGTAATTCAAGTCCCAGACCCAGTGGCTTGAAAAACACACCAGGCACATGTGCGTACATACCTAAAATTCTGGAAAGAGAAACAGAGAAATAGGGATTGCTCTCCCTCATGGGGGGAAGCTTTCTCATGTCCTTTCTCTTTCTCTCTGTCTCTCTCTTATGAATGCATGTGCCTTTTTTTTCTTTTTCTTTATTTTTTAAATGTTTTTGCCATAGGGCACGTGCTCTTGCAGGAGAGAGACTGAGAGAGGCAGAAAGAGGGAAAGTGAGAAATCATCTCCCAGAAGGGATGGCCACACCACAATCCATTCTCCTCCAGTCTCTTGGGATTTTAGGCATGCACACGTATACACTGGCATGATTTTCAAACTGCTGAGTTCAGGACTTGAACTACAATCAGCAACATGGGACCCCAATATCTTCACCAAGCCACCTGCCGGCCCTGTGTATGTACCTTCTAACAAATTAAGAAATGAAAAAAAGAGAGTCTGAATCAATTTTAGAGGACAAGGCAACCAGAAAAAGCTCTCCATCTTCCTAAAAGTTAAAAGCAAGTCTCCTGAGTAAAAATACCCATGTTCCCAACTCGCGGCTGGTAGTACTCAAAGACAGCCCAAGAGGTACTAAAACTTGGACCTAAAGGCAGAGAGGTAGAGTGTAATTCGACTATTACTAAATCAAAGGGGCTAAGAGTGTTTTCCTGTTCACTCACATGGGTGGGAAAGCAGGCCTCACTTCAGGAAACACAAACTTCATTGAAAACGTCAGGCCCAAGCTCTCGGGAGCCATTAAAAACAAATTGTGGGGACCAGCAGGTGGCATGGTGCTTGGGGTGCTGGACTCCCACATGGCCGACTGTGGTTTGAGTTCTGGACCTGGCGGCTTACTTTCTCACTCTCCCTCCCTCCCTCCCTCTCTCTCTCTGTCTCTTGCTGGTCAAACTGAAGAACAACAATAATAAATAAAATTAAATAATTCTTTTAAAAAAAATAGATTGTACTGGGCCAGCAGATGGCATGGTAACTAAGGCACTGGACTCCCACATGGCCAACTGGAGTTCAAGTTCCAGGCCTAGGGGCTTGCTTTCTCACTTCCTCTCTCTCTCCTCTTTGGCTCTTGCTCTCTCTGTTTCTCTCTCTCTCTCTAGTGAGCACATACACTCTAGCAAATTAAAATAATAAATAAAATTAGATAAATAATTAAAAAAAAAAAAACAGATTGCGCTTTCCAGGTCTCCAGGAAACAGACCTAAGGAAAATATGACCACTCACAAGTCTTCATTGATCCAGTGAATAATGAATGTCTACCATGGGCAGATCTAATATGGAAAAGACATTCACTTGTCAATGGTCTTGCTTTTACAAAACACAAGCACTTTTACCTGGCCCGAAATGCCCAATTTTCTTCCTTTATTCAGTCCGACATCTTCAAGAAGATTGCTGCTCTCCTCAGGTCCTGCACCAAAAAGGTTAAAATGTTCTCCTGAAGTTCCAAACAGAGCTTGACGGGGATCCAGACCCTTGTAAGCCAGTCCATGTACATTGTCTTTAGGTGTAAAATCCACAGGTGTGACATCTTTGGGTGCAAAGGTCACATTATCAGGCAAGTAGTCATCATCTTCATCCTATATTCAGTGTTTAAAATGAAATTAAGATGAGTCACTGTGTGGTACAAACTAAACCCATAAAATGCTAATTTAAGATACAGTGATTAATTCCAAACAGAACAATGACGTTCATTTATGCTATTATAAATGACTAAATCACGTCCCTGAACAAATTAAACTAATGTGAACAACTCCATTTTAAGAATCTGAACAGATGAGGGGGAGGGGTAAGGCAACAGGCAGCATGGTGGTTAAAGACACTGGACTCCCACGTGACTGACCACGGTTCAAGTCTCGGACCTGGCAGCTTGCTTTCTCACTTTCTCTCTCTCGCTGTCTTTCTCAGGTCAAATTAAATAATAATAATAAAGTTAAGTAAAATAATTATTTTAAAAAAAAATCTGAACAGGCATGGGTGCATGCGTGCGTGCCCAAGATCCTGAGAAGAGAATGGAGGAAAAGGGATTGCAACATGGCCATACCCCCAGGGGGGTGATTTCTCGCTTTCTGTCTCTGGTGAGTGTATGCGCTCTATAGCAAAAAATCTCTCCAAAAAAAAAAAAGAGAAGAATCTGAACAGATTTGGAATACCTCTGGCTCTGGCATATTGCTGAACACGTTACCTGACGTGGCGAAGCCAGTTTTAGGATATGGGCATCTTAGACAAGGTCTCACTGTGTTGCAGTCCCCCTGCCTCAGCCTCCCAGCTGGGACTACAAGCACATGCCCACGCCCAGCTCTTTTCCAGACGTGGCCTCCCTTCACTGTCCAGGCCTCAAGCTCATGATCCTCCTGCCTCAGCCTCCCAGGCAGTGGGGATTACCGGCTCACACCACCATAACCAGTTTTGGAATCTGACTGACTTCTATAAGTTTCTGGCCCTAAATGTTCATGATAAAAAAGTAACAGGCGCCCCCACACCAAAGTGAGATCAGGCATCTCCTACGGTACCTCGGATCCTTCAGAGCCTCCAGGAGGTAGTGCACAGCCATAGATTTTTACTCCCGGATCTATGAAAGAGAGTTCAAGTGCATTAGACACGAACAACTAAAGAGAAAAATCCAACTCACTGACACTCATTAGCGGTACATGACTGTACTTGTAAAGGCACTACAGTTTTAGGGCTGGAGTGGGATCACTAGGAACTGTTTCCCATCCCCAAGTTCTGCCAATAATGTGCTCAACGCTAACCATTAGTGCCTGGAACCATAAAGAACCCAAAAAAAATTACTGCTGCCCTGGAAGAGTTCACTCATAATCTAACCAGGAAGAACTACAGGAAGGAGAAGATAGAAAATAATAATGTTAAACTATTGGGGGAACCAACAGATAGCACAGAGGATAAGGCAGCTAGATCCCACATGGCTGACTGCATGGTTTCAGTCCTGGACCTGGAGGGTTGAAAAACACACTGTGGGGGAGGGGACCAGCAGGTAGTGTGATGGTTGAGGCACTGGATCCTCCTGTGTGGCCAACTGTGGTTCGAGTCTCGGATGTGGTGGCTTGCTTTCTTACTTTCTCTCTCTCTGGTCAAATTAAAATAAATAAATGAATAAATAAAATTAAATAAATAATTCTTAAAAAAACACTCGGTGCATGCGTATGTATGCCCAACATCTGGAGAGGAGACTGGAGAAGGGACTGCAGTGTGGGAACCAGCAGTTAGCGTAATGGCTATGTCGCTGGACTCCCACATAGTCGACCGTGGTTCG